CTATACAGATATGCATTCAAAAATAAAATGGAGAAAATGAATAAAATAGTTCTTGAAAAACTGTGCATCTTAAAATAATAAAGTGCTTAATTTTAGAATAAATAAAAAAGTGTAGCAACAGCTTGAATTTTCCTTTTTCTTTGTTAACTGTTTCACATCTTGACTTAACAGTCTCAACCAATTTTACAATAAATAAATAGCAATTGAACAGTTTTACAGTTTATCTTTCTTTCCCTCTTTTCTTCACTGTCCCCACTTTTTGTTGCTCAGTGACAGAACTGAGCTGGAGCTTGCTTCTGGACTAGAATGGTGTCAGGACCATTCTCATATACAGTCAGGTCCATAATTATTTGGACAATGATACAGTTGTTGTCATTTTGGCTCTGTACACCACCACAATGGGTTTTAAATGAAACAATGGATACCTGCTTAAAGTGCAGACTCTCAGCTTTCATTTAAGGCTTTTTTTCAAAAATGTAGTATGAATGACTGCCTGAAGTGTTGGACACATAGACATCATCAGATGCTGGGTTTCTTCCCTGGTGATGCTCTGCCAGCCCTTTACTGCAGCCGTCTGCACTTCCTGCTTGTGTTTAGGGTGTTTTGCCCTCAGTTTTGGCTTCAGCAAGAGAAACGCATGCTCAATTGGATTCAGGTCAGATGATATTACTTGGCCATTGCAGAACATTCCACTTCTTTGCCTTAAAAATGTCTTTGGTTGCTTTTGCAATATGCTTCAGGTCAATGTCCATCTGCACTGTGAAGCATCGTCCAATGAGTTTTGAAGTATTTGGTTGTATCTGAGCAGATAATGTAGCCCTAAACACTTCAGAATTCATTCTGCTGCTCTTGTAAGCTAGATTATACTTTATTATAATATATACATAGGGTTTATCACAAGATGCAAACCATTGGTTAGCCTTAAAAATGGAAGGCCAGATTAGAGTTTGTCAAAAACCATCTAAAAAGCCTGTACAGTTGTGGAACAGCATACTATGGACAGATAAAACAAAGATCAACTACCAGAATGATGGCAAGACAAGAGAAGGAAGAAGGGAAGGAACTGCTCATGATCCAAAGCACACCACCTCATCATTGAAGCATGGTGGAGGTACTGTTATGTCATGGCCATGTATGGCTGCCAGTGGAACTGGTTCTCTTGTATTTATTGATGATGTGACTGCTGACAAGAGCAGCAGAGTGAATTCTGAAGTGTTTGGGGCACCAGCATACTGCAAAAGCAACCAAAGACATTTTTAAGGCAAAGAAGTGGAATGTTCTACAATGGCCAAGTCATATCATCTGACCTGAATCCAATTGAGCATGCGTTTCTCTTGCTGAAGCCAAAACTGAGGGCAAAACACCCTAAACACAAGCAGGAAGTGCAGACGGCTGCAGTAAAGGGCTGGCAGAGCATCACCAGGGAAGAAACCCAGCATCTGATGATGCCTATGTGTCCAACACTTCAGACAGTCATTGACTATAAAGGATTTGCAACCAAGTATTAAAACTGACTGTTTAATTGATGATTATGTTAGTTTGTCCAAATACTTATGAGCCCTTAAAGTTGGGGGACTGTGTGAAGAAATGATTGTAATTCCTACACGGTTCATACTACATTTTTGAAAAAAGCCTTAAATGAAAGCTGAGAGTCTGCACTTTAAGCAGGTATTCATTGTTTCATTTAAAACCCATTGTGGTGGTGTACAGAGCCAAAATGACAACAACTGTATCATTGTCCAAATAATTATGGACCTGACTGTACGTGTGCAGGTGCTCAATGGTGCTCATTGGTGAGCCCTCGCTCACTCGTCTCTTCCTCTGTGTTTCTCTCTGTCCCTCACTCACTCATCTCTTCCTCTGTGTTTCTCTCTGTCCCTCACTCGCTCGCCTCTTCCTCTCTGTCTTCTCTCCCTGTCTCCCACTCACCCGCCAGTCTGTCTTTTCTCCCTGTATCGCCTTCTTTCTTTTTCTATATTTCTCTCCTTCTATATTTCTATTTTTCCGTTGTCTTTCCATTGTCACTTGCCTCTCACCTCTCATCTGACTGTATACAGAGTCACAATGTTAATTGCCTGAAATGCAGAGATTTGATTGGCTGGGTCGCATCATGTGGGCTGGCTTAGCTTGCGTGCAATTGGTCTGTACATTTCCTGATCAGCTAAACCAGTGCTGTAAAGACCAGAAAGCTACCTGTCAAAATTTAAAATCCCTTAATAATTTACTGGTTATAGGTCCGGGTCCATATAGCATGGCGTCTGGGTCCGCCTGTTAGTGACTAAGGGTATTAAGTAAGGAGCTACTCCAAAGACAATGATTGGGAGCCTGATTTTATGGATCCACAGTGTGTTGTTGTTGTTGTTTTTTTTTTTCTCCAGTAAATGAGCAAATTCTATTATGGTGCTCTCAGTTATGAAACAGAAAGTTGACCCATATAGACCGGATCACAGCAGAAATGTCATGTAGGTCAGACCACTTTATATCTTTAAGCGTTACAGTTAGGTTGTCTGCGTGGAAGTTGTTGTTAGTGTGACACCACAGTGAATCTCTATGCTCATATCATTCCCCTGGCTGCTCTGCTAATCTAGAACATCTTTCACCATTCATTGTCTGTGGAGCAGCTCCACACTGTATACCCTGTGACATCACAAATTTGATATGTGTTTATGGATTTAGGAGTTGTTCATGTTTCTTAAAGGAGCAATAAGTGAAATTCATCATTTCTAGATTGAAGGAATTAAAAAATTGCTATGTGAAGAACTAGAGGTGTAATTTCATCTGGAGTATAGCATGACCTCACACACCCTCTCTCTGTGTTGATCTCCAGCCCCTTGTTTACAAGCCGGTCCGGCTGCGCGTTCATGTACGTTCATGTGAATCCGTCCCTATAAAAGGCTACAGCCAGTGAGCAATGGCAGCGTGTATTTTCGAAGCAAAATGGCGGAGAGCGGAATGAAACGTTCACCTGAAGACGACAAGGATCTGACATTATCTCTTAAGAAACAACGGTTGTTGGCGAAGAAGTTGTCAGATAAAGAAAGGGACAGAACTCGGATTAACATTGGCCTTGCATTTCAAAGGTGGAGAGCACTGCGAGAGCTAAAGGGGCTACAATTTGACTCAGAGCTAGCTCTTCTTCTCCTGGACAGGTACAACATAAAGTCAAATGTCTGTTTTAATTAGTGTTACAGTAACATTAGGCACATGTCGCTATGTCGATTCAATTAAATTTAATGTTACAATCGTAGCATGGGTTAATGTCCGGAGCTTGAGTTATTAGCGGCTCTGTCCCAGCAATGGGTCAGGTGTAACAGTTGTGTTAGGTGAGTAGCCCGGCAGCCCAGCTAACGTTTGCAATTAGCATTATAAAATGTAGCCCGGCGGGCAGCCGGGCTGTGTTTAGCTATTTCCCTGCCTACTTCAATGGTGATTGTACCTGTAATAAATGTAATATATTTGCTGAGATAGAGGCGAGGCTCAGTGACTAGAAGAGCTGGTAGAAGCATAGCTGCATAGCTGTAATTTACTCAAGTAGCTGTAGTAGCTCTAGTGCTAACTCCAGGAGCTAACGCTAACGTCCCTACTCTTCTCCGTGAGCCGGAGCCGAGAAGAGTAGGGACGTTAGTGTGGCAGCCGACTAGTGCTAACGCTAACAGGAAAGCAGGGAAATAGCTAAACACAGCAGAGACTGAGAGTGAGTGAAAGACATCGCTAACTGCTAAACTAAGCCAAACTTAGTTGGCTGTTTAGGTTTTATTTCCTTGCCCCTGTGGCGAGTGAATCTGCCTGTAGTGAAACCAGGGCTAACCGGTGCTTCCTCCTCAGGCTCCACTTCACTCAGTTGCCAGCACAGCCAGCTAGCCTCCGCTAGCCTCCCAGCTAGCGGGAGCCAACTGGTGCTTCCTCCTCAGGCTCCACTTCACTCAGCTGCCAGCACAGCCAGTTAGCCTCCGCTAGCTTCCTAGCTAATGTTAGCCCCGGCTCTCCGTTTGGATCCAACTGGAGCACCGAGCCTTGGTTTGTTATTCAGGTTAATGTGGGAAGAAGCAGCGGGTATATCGGGCAGCTGAGTGAAGTGGAGCATGCGGAAGAAACACTGGGACCGTCTGGATGTAATAGTCGATGGAGATGCTGCGGTGCTCGGCTGCACAGACAAGGCGAGTGGGGTGGGGGGTGGAGAGCAGAGGTAGAGGGAGGTGTGGCTCATGACACACTTTGTTTTGGTCTACAGGCAGTGCACAACAGCAAACCTAGCGGTGAAACGATTATGCTTTTTGCCCCTTTAATATTTTTAGACTGTCTTAGACCGTAGAAATAACATGTATGAATTTTGAAAATGGTTGCCGTTCCTCTTTAAGTGTCTGTAATCCTTCCCTCAGTAGAGTGGTTTACCAGAAGAATGGATAATGTACATATGCAGAGGTCAATGGTGATTTTCTTTCTTTCATTCTTAGAATGAAAAGAGTATGTCCTGGCAGTGGTACTGTCAGGGTCACCACATAAATAAAATTCACTGGAAGGACTGGGCCTTAAATGTGGAGTTTTAGTTCAACTCAATACATGGAGAGTTTCTAAGAAACCTGTGTTTGAGACTGACATGGTGGCTCTTCCTAAAATGTTTTCTTTTACCAAACATGAAAGTGAAAAACAACATAGTTTCATGGTTAATCAGTGTTACTGTTAAAGCAGCAGTGCTTCATTTCAGCACAAACATCTACAGTTTGCAAAATGCACACTTGCATCATTGTTTTCCTGTCTGCACAGGAAGTCACAGAGTTTGCATTCATAACCTTCTACCACTGCTTTGTGTTGCAGTTTTTACAGTTACTGTGTGTGTGTGTCTGAGTGTGAGCGTGAGCGTGTGTGTGTGTGCGCCAGCAGTGGTTTTCTTCATGTGACTGTACTTGTGAAAGTGTGTGTTCATTCTTGTCTGCTAAGTCTTGAATCAGTCGGGTCAGACAGGCAACGTGACGTTCTGTGGATTATGTTTCGTTTTTCAGCCCTCAAGCCAGAGGTTCCTAATGCCGACAAGAGGGCTCATTCCATCAGGCGAGAGGACAGAGGTAGGACTCCATCTTTACCTGTGTACCTCCTCATCTTACTTTATCCTCACATCTTACTTTATCATTTATTCCTCACATCAGAAGATACATTTTCTGACATCTTTCCAAACATGAAACATTTGTTTCTCATGCACAACGGCCTGTGTCTCCACTTACATTACTGACCTGGGGCCTCATGTACAAAGGGTGTGTGGCGAACGTCCTTTTCCACGGCAAAGTTCAGATATATCAAGAGTGAAATGACCGTGAAACTTTGCGGTGCCTCACGCCAACTTCATGGCTGGCGTACACACGTTTCTACAGCTGTTGACCCTTTGGCGACACTTTGAGGTGATGCTGGGAAACTGTTATAATAAATAAATGTGAAAACAATTAGTCCACAGAGTGATGTGCACATCAGAGACACATGAGCAATTAACACACTTTTGATATACTGGCATGTTTAAATTTAAATTCAAAAGATTTATTTCAAACCAAATAATTCCATACATACAACATTTACGCATGAACATTTACACATGAACCTCTATCTTATAGGGCTGTGAGCAGGTTATTGTATGACCGGTATGAACACATTTGTTGTAAGTTACACAAATTTATAGGTATTTACCTTGGGGGTAATCCGAGTCACCCACATGTGCTCCCACCACCCCTGTGAGAGCAGTGTCGCCCACAACTGCAGCGACTCTCTGTTCAAACGGGGTGAGCTCCTCCTCTTCTGTCCCCCCGCCTGTTTTGGCCACACTTTGGCGGTGGGTAGCCATCCTTCGCTTCACATCCACCTTAATGTCGGACCACTTCTTTTTTAATTCTGCGTGTGTATGCTTTTTTAACCCCACAGCATTGACAGTTTCACACACACTCTCCCACTCACTCCTCTTTTAGTATTGATGCCGGAGGACAGCGTGCCAAAAAGTATATTTTTGCGTTTTTTGCATACAGTTTTTCTTTTTTCCCATCTTACTCATTCTTGTGATTTAGTTTTTTGATTGTGCAGAGAGGGGAATCTTAGGTGCAGGGCCAATTTAAATATGATTTGCATATTTAAATGGGGAAGTGGACAGGGAGGGGTCGGGTACTCCAACATGTGCGGTCAGTTCCACGTTGATTGGGATGTACAAAGGAAATGTGCTTGGATTCATGTGTATGCACAGATTCATACATCTGGATGTTTTTGTGCGTACAACGTTTTCTGGATTTAAGCTTATGCAATGTTTCAGTAGGAAATCCACGGAAGTCTTTGCATGAGGCCCCTGGGGAGGCAGGAGACAGACTGTTTTCTTTTGGTTCATCTATGACTTCTTACCCAGTAGTGGAAGAAAGTATCAAAAGTCAAAGTAGTGGATGACTTTTGGTCAGCATGCTGCGAAAAATGGCAGACTATCAGAAATCTCTCTCTCTCCCACTCAGAGTATTTCCCCAGATTCAACTATTTTAACAGGATAGGACTGCTGAGGTATTATGGACGGGGACAAACTAAAGAGAGCCAAAGGTAAAGTGAACTTAAGATCAGAAAAAGCGAGAGAGAAATCAACAATGGAGAGCCGCGACGATGCTAATGCTGAGTTGCTTAGCCAGGATGGACCAGACTACACCAAAGCTAGCTTGCTGGCTTGTAAACACACATAGATTAAGGCGAAAATGGGCTGATGTAAGGAGCGAGCTAAGTGCTTTCCATTACACACTGAGAGAAGACGTGAAAAAGGAGTTGAGTGATTTCAGTGATAAGATGAACTAGGCCCTGGGGTAAATTAGGGAAGACCTGAAATCTACAACATGGGTCGAGGAAACAGAGCAGTGTGTCGCCGAAAGAGGAATGTAACACCGAACTTGAAGCTATGCTCTGTCAAATGAAACAGGCACAGGAATTTACGCAAACGAAAGTGACAGACTTGGAACTACAATCTCGACAAAATAACATTTGCATTTATGGAATTCCTGAATGCAAGGAAGATAACAACATGATGGACTTTGTGGCTAAATTTCTGCAGTCAGAGTTTACACTGGACAGGACAGAGCTGAGGATGCACCGTTGCCATAAAGCTCTTAGCCGGCGTCCCCCTTGCGTAGTTTCACCAAGGTCCATAGTGATAAACGTCCAGGAGTGTAAGACAAAAGACCAGATCCTGTCCACACATGGAAAAAGAAGCAGGTTTATTACAAAGCTAAAAAAAAAAAAATCTATTTTGACCACGACTTTCTGACAGATATAGTGAGAAAAAGGAGGGAGTATGTCGAAATAAGAAGAGTGCTGAAGGAGAGAGGTGTGTGTGTTTTCAGACCCCACCGCCCACCAATTCTAAGGTGTTTCTGGACAGATCTACAATGAATGTAGCCGCAGATGAAGGATGAGGAAGAATGGATTTCCCATCCACCTGGATAGAGAGCCTGGTCTGACTTTAATGTCTCCGTGAAGCACAACAACTGCAGATGTAGAAAAATCTTTTCACCATCAGTAGCTTAAGTTCATCCAGTTTATTGGTCAGCGAAAGCACATTGGAGAGAAATATACCTGGCAGCGGTGTGTGGTGTCCGCGTTGGCAGAGACGCACAAGTGCACCGGCACAAGTGACGATTTTATTGAGTGACAATTTTATTTTATATTACCTTTTTTTTCTGGGGTGCCAGTCAGGTGTAACCTGACTATTTCAAAGTTAGTCGACTCAAGGAAACAAAAAACCAACACAAAGGATGCACAAATATACACTTATACAACCTCAAATAAATAAAATTGATCAACGCAACACTATTTCTCTCTTTTTTTCACACTTATATTTTCACAAGAACACAAAATAGAAAGTCAATACACCAATGTCCATTCACCAATCAAAAGTCCAGAACCAAGGAAGAGTGATATTAAACGAAATCAGTCAGTATAGTCTTTTTCTTTTCAGGGCATAAAAAAAACAAAAAGAGTCACTTTTGATATTCAAAGACAAAAAGACGTTCCGTCTGTTCCGGTATGGGTTATCCGATTCGTCCGTCGTGGCAGAGGAAAAACGAGGGACTAGCTACCTCCACTTTTTGCCTAAGCTGCCGCGGGGTGCGGACTAAACGGAAGAGATCCTTCTCTGTTGGCCAGAGTAGACTTGTGCCTCTTTTTTTTTCCTGAGACGCTGCATGACGTCATCTTTTAATGCCATGGGTTGCCAGGGGTAACAGGCGACGCTACATGAGACGGTGGCACACCTTTTTTTTTTTTTTAGCTCGTTACGTTTCCCCCTCCTCCAGTGTTTCACTGCACGGGCAAAGGTGAGGGCACCTTTGGCCAAAAAGCCCAATAAATCCACTGAAGGCTCGAGAAAAGTGGGACAAAAATCCACCTGAGTTGTTCCCCTGACAGCCTGATATATATTAGCCTACTGAGGTAATGAGTAAGTTAGCTTCTTGGGTCATTGCTTATGTCAAACACTGCTTCCCCACATGGAGGCCTCTGAATGGACTGACATAACCGCTCGCGTAACACCTAATGTGGATATAAATTTTCTCAGTAAAAATGGCAGGCAAATGCGGACCACCGCTTCCACCTCCAGCTGCTCCAACAGGAAAATCAGTTGGCAAAAGAAAGAATATTGCAGAAAAATCTAACACTAGAACTCCATGCTGCAAGAGCCAAAACTCAGGTCAACATCGGCTCTGCTTTCAGCGATGGCGAAGACTGATGCAGCTTCATCCTGAGCTAAAAAGAGACAAGATGGTCGCAGGGTTTCTGCTGGACAGGTATTTTTAGTTTGCCTCTAAGTTTGAATCAACATGGCGGCCCAACCAATGCTTGAGGCAGCCTGTGCGTACACCGGTGCAACAAGAAGTAAATTCTTCAGTGCAATACAGTCACGAGTTTCTCATAGACAATAGAAACCGCTGCAGAGAACTAACGCTACAACCGAGAGAGCTCAGGATGTGTAGCAAGCTTGGCCTGCTACGTTGAGTTAGCCCTGAGATGACAGTGGTTTTGCCTGGAGCTGTCCCGACGGGTAGACGCTAGCAGCGCTATGACAGGACACGGAAGCGGGGGAAGCCGGAGGGGTTAGCACTAGGCTAAGAGCTAACCCCATCAAACCAGCTGTTCCCAGCATCTTTCTGGCCAACGTCCGCTCGCTGGACATGAAAATGGATTACATCTGACGGTGGAGATCCACTCACCGAGGAGTGAGGGACTGCTGCGTCCTTGTGTTCACTGAGACATGGATGAATGGTAACATATCAGACTCCGGTGTTGAGCTAACAGGGCTAACACTACATAGAGCAGACAAGGAGGCTGCATCATCTGGTAAGCTCCATGGTGGTGGTCTGGCAATATACACAAACCATTCATGGTGCTGTGATGTGAAGAGGGTCTCCCAGTTCTGCTCTCTTCTTCTGAAACATTAACGTTATCTTCCGTGTGCGTTTCCATTTACTAGTAATGTTAAAGCTACTATCTAACGCACTGTAACCTTATTCTAAAACTTATCAGTCATCACTGACTCTGGTTGAGTTTTAAAACTCTGGGGTCGCGTTTGACTGTCTTGGGTGTAACGTTACACTCACTCTCCTCTTCTGTGTATCTAACGTTACCTTGCCAACACCTACGTCTATCATAGACGTAATGAGGACGTAATCGAGGAGGGGGGAGTAGGCCTTTGGAGGGAGGTGGAGTTGCAGGAGGAGGTGGATGGAACTTTGGAGGTAGGCAGGAGTTGTGGATGTTCAATGTTTTTCTAAATGCTGTGTGAAATGCAAGAAAGGTAAGAGTTACTTTAACTGTATTGGGAGGAATACTTTTGATGTGGGTACAATTGATTATGATGAAGACGTTTTTAATACAGAAGAGGTTCATTGTGCTGTCTTGGCTTTAGATGACAATAAATAATGTGGAGCTGATAAGACAACTGCTGAACATCTGAAATATACCAGCAAAAAACTTTACCCCCTGCTTGCTATCCGTCTGACTGGCTTTTTAGTTCATGGAATTTTGCCTGACTCCATCCTGTTTTGTAAGTGCCTGTTATTAAAGCCAC